AGAACAGTGTTCTTAATCACTGAGCCATCTCTCCAGCCTCAAAGAAATTATTTTTAATGCTATATTTTAACTCAATATATCTAAAATATTACCACTTTAATGTGAGATCTACATTAAAATTTGAGATTATTTTTCTATTAAGTGCAGAAATCCAGTGTGTTGAGCCATATCTATCTGCAACCAGTTTCATAGCAAGGATTCAATAGTCACACACAACCAGTCTGTGGTTCAGGCTTGTGTGGTCCCAGGTTTCCTACCTCTAGTGGCACCTCTCCCTCAAATCGATAGAGTGATGCCACCTGCAAAAGCTCATCAGCTAAAATCACTTTCAGCATCCTCATAACAAGCCGCTAGGACTGTCACCTTTAAGGAACAAGAAATGGAGAAGGCCTGAGCACCTCTGCCTGCCGGGGGATTGGAGGTGAGAGGAGTGGGGTAGGGGTTAGTGAGCAGGTGGTAGGGAGGTGGGGGGGGTGATCAGAGGACGTCATGGCACATCACAGCACCATTGAGCATACATACAGGCTCCTCTGCAACCTCTGCAATCTATCAAAACTCACACTGGAGGGTGTGGGTTGTACCAGGTTTGAATTTCCTTTTATCTTTCTCCAGAAGTGAGCAGGATTCTAGAAAGTGCTATGAGGTAGGCTAGTAGGTCCCTGCCTTAGGGAGAATGCCAGAAGGCCCTATGTGCTGGGGGCAGGACTGGGGATCCTATAGATGAATGACCTTGAACTTCAACCTATCATGATTCTCAACTCTACCCTTGTGAGCTGTCTGATGTTCTTCATCTATGGAATGGGGTACTAACAGCAGCAGCTACTTGGGGCTGTCTGAGAAGACAGCATCAATGCTGAGGACTTGCAGCAGTGTAGCTGGCTACCATCTGGGGGTTCTAAAAGGTCCCTCACTGTCTGAGGAGCTGCCTTCCTCCTCACTTGCTAATGTCTACCTCCTGGGCAGACACTATCGTCAGGTGCCCACCATGAGACTTGGTCATGTGAACGCGTCCTTACTAGTTGTCTTCCCCCTGACTCCCTTCCCATGCCTTCAGGAGTAACCTCCCAAATAAATGTCCACACCCATATCCTCAAGGCAAGGTCTGCCTCAGGGGCAACCCAAACAAAGATATTCCCCAAACCTCAGTGCCCTCTCTCCCATCCAGCCATGGGAATCTTGCTTACTCTTTAAGGCCAGCCGAAAAGCTACCATCCAGAGCACCCCACTGGCACATCTTGCATTCCCATCTAGCTGTCAGCTGTCTCCCTTGTCATCCGAGCAGCTGCTCTCATCATCTCTCCCTGTCAGCTAGAACTACCTGCACTCACAGAAGGCCTGCCTGTCTAGAAATACCTGCAATTACTACAACTTTTACTACCAGTTGAAATTCACTATCTACTAAATCCTGAGTATGAAGACTTTCACTGCAATTTTTGCCCACAAACATCACTTTTAGGTAACAGGTGTTAAAAGGCATCATCCTCATTTTCTTTTGTTTCTTTCACTTTATTTATTTATTTGTGTGGGGGTGGGTGGCACATGTGTGCCACACATTGTACTTGTGTGGAGTCAATTTTCTCCTTTTACCATGTGGGTCCCAGGGATGCAAACCCAGGTTGTCAGGCTCCGTGGCAGGTGTTTTACCTGTTGAACTATTTCATTAGCCTCCCGGCATCATCCCATTTTAGAGATGAAAAACTGAGGAAAAAGCCAGGCATGGTGGTGCACGCCTTTAATCCTAGCACTCTGGAGGCAAAGGCTGGCTTATCTCTGTGAGTTCAAGACCAGCCTGGTCTACATATCGAGTTCCAGGCCAGCTGGGGCTACAGGGAGTCCCTGTCTCAAAAAGACAAGAAAAAGAAAAAGAAAAACTAAGATGAGAAGATAAGCTAATTCAAATGGTCTGACCACTAACTTGGACATGGGTTTTGTTTTGGCAGTCCTAGAAATTGAACTCATGGCCTCATTAATGCTAGGGAAGTGTTCTATCTGAACTACATCCTAAACCCTAGGTGTGGGTTCTTAACTATTAGTGACTAAACTCAACTTACAAACTCTTCTCTGAGGAGCAGTCAGTCCCTGATAGAAATGGTATCACAGACAAGAAATTCCATCAGCTCAATGCTCACAACAGATGAAGATATCCATAGTCTGCCATGCATCCCAAACCCCTTCACTTTGTCCTAAAGGCCTGGCAGAGTATACCATGAAAGGAGCAAAATAACCAGGCCATGTCTCCAGTGACTTCCTCAGAGAGAAGGAAAAGTCTGAGAAATGCTGCTGGCTTTCACTGACAAACAACTGATGTCCCTCAGGCCCAGCTTTGCAGTCGCTCAGCAGCCCTCCATCCTCTGCAAGACACGCCACCTCACTACCTCTAACTGATCCTCCCATCATACAGGCTCCCTTGCCACTCCTAGGTGGTCTCCCCTCCTCTTGGCTTACTGCAGAGGTCAGGCTTTTATTGATTCACTGTGATTTACAAAAGAGAAGGGCAGCCAGCCATGCTGACGCACACCTTTAGTCCCAGTACTTGGCAGGCAGATCTTCATGAGTTTGAGGCCAGCCTGGTCTACATAGTGAGTTCCAGGCCAGCTCGGGCTAAGACAAAAAGAAGAAGAGGAGGAGGAGGAGGAGGAGGAGGGGAGGGGGGGAGGAAGAGGAGGAGGAAGGGCAGTGGGCCTGGCAATGCAGGTCTATAATCTTAGCTAAAGAAAAAGAATTGCTAGTTTAAGGCTGGCCAAGGCTACCCAGGGAGTTTGAAGCCAGCCTGAGCAACTGAGAGCCTTCTCAAAATAAGAACTAAAAACAAGGCTGGGTTTATAGCTCAATAATAGAGCACTTGCCCAGAATGCATTGAGGTCCTGGATTCAATGTCCAGCTTAAATAAATAAATAAATAAATAAATAAATAAATAAATAAATAAATAAGACTTGTAAGCAGGTGGGTGTGGCAATGCCAAACCTGGGAGGCTGAGTTAAAAAAGAAGCCTATAGCCACACTCAAAGGGGGTACAGATTCTATAAATTAAAAAAGAAACAATAGGGGCTGGAGAGATTGCCCCGTGGGTAAGAGCATGTACTGCTCTCACAGAGGACCAGTTTGATCACACACACACACACACACACACACACACACACACACACACACACAATCGTTAAAATTTTTTTAAAAGAAACAATATATTAATTGGAAGTCATGATAGTGATTCCCCTTAGAGGGAAGGAGGTAGTGATGGGGAAAGGGTAGTGACCACTAGGAACCAAAATATGATTTTTGTCCTGGGTGCTAGTTACATGGATCTAGGTCTAGGTACTTGAGATTTGTACTTGAGATTTGTGCATATTTTTTGATATGTACCTCAATGAAAAGTTCATTTTAGAAAAAGATCTTAAAATACTAAAAAAATACAGGTATTCTCTGTATGTCAATCCACTTTCTAATGTGGGGATGATTCCTGCCAGACCAGAGACACAGCTTAATGCCAGTACCCTAAGAAAAATAACACGATAAGGACTAGAAAAGAAAATGGAAGCTGGGCGTGGTGGCACACATGCCTTTATTCCCAGCACTGGGGAGGTAGAGGCAGGAGGGTCTCTGTGAGTTCAAGTCCAGCCTGGTCTACATAGTAAGCTCCAGGCCAGCTGGGGCTACAACAAGATCCTGTCTCAAGAAAAATAAAAAATAAAAAAGACCCGTATAGTCAGGGGCCTCGAGGAGTAGCCTGGATTGCATTAATCCATTCTGCCAGCGTTAGAGAATGTTTAGCAGAGAAGTGGCATCCTTACAATTTTCCTCCAGGGCTTACTGGGCCAAAGGTATGGACTGTGGGCCGCAAGTGGAGAAGGCTAGAAGCCAGATGTGCCTAAGATAAAATTAATGAAGCTTGTGACCAATCAGCAGGGTTGGGAGTGAGGCAAAAGGTCAGCCCCCAGACTCTCTGGAACAGGGAGAAAGAGAGGTCTCGGATCCACAATGCCTAAGTCAGGAAATGGGCTGAGAGCTCAGAGATAGGCAGGGTGCTTGTCTCGCATGGACAAGGCCATAGGTTCTATTCCCAGTATAAAAATTTAAAAGAAATTTTTTTTAAGAATCAGGAAAAAAGCCAGGCATGGTGGTGCAGATCTTTAATCCTAGCACTCGGGAGGCAGAAGCAGGCAGATCTCTGTGAGTTCAAGGCCAGCCTTGTCTACACAGTTCTAGGACAGCTGGGGCAACAGAGAGAAAAAAAAAAGAAAAGAAGAAAAGAAAAGAAAAGAGAAAAGAAAAGAAAAGAAAAGAAAGGAAAGGAAAAGAAAGGAAAGGAAAAGAAAAGAAAAGAAAAAAGAAAAGAAAAGAAAAAGAAAAAGAAAAGAAAAGGTCAAGAAACTGAGGAAGAAGCCCAAAGGCAGAAGCATGCCCCGGCAGGAGGCTCAGGACAACTCTGCTTTTCCAATGTCTCAGTAGGACCATGATGTCTAGAAGTCAGGCTTACCTCCCAAGAAAGAGGACAGAGCCAGGCTTGGTGGTATACACTCCCAGCACTTGGGAGACAGAGGAAGATAGGAAGTTCAAGGCTAGTCTGGATTATAAGGCAAGACCTTATCTCAAAAAAGCAAAAACCAGAACCAAACAAACAATAAAAAAAACTAAAAGAGGCATAAACTATTTGTAGCGGGCCCTCGGAAACCCATTCTACAGCCAGACTACAGGGTCTGCATTATGGTGGAGACTCTGAATACTACCCCCTAGTGATCTGCTTTGAGCCTTACTTGAACCTGCACATCATATCTTACTGGGACAAAAACAGGCTATGAGAGGTAGCATGTCTGCCTAGGGTGACATGGCCGACAGGTTGCAGTCAGGAGGTGAACCCAGATGGGCTGGACCCAAATGCTCATCCTGTGTCCTTCCCAGAAATACCATCCTGTTCCACACTCACAGTGTAGATCTCCGGGGGGCGGGGGGTGGGGGTGGTGTCAAAGGAACAGGAAGTGAGCAAAGCAAGAGTACAGCCTCACCTGTGTGCGTGCGGACATGCCTCTTCAGGTCAAAGGTGTCATTGAAGCCCTTGCCGCAGAAGGTGCACAGGTGCCTCTTCACCTGGTTGTGGCACTTGAGGTGGCGGTTGAGCATGCGCTGCAGGCGGAAGCCCTTGCCACATAAGTCACAGCTGTGAATCACAGAGTCGCTGCAGGTGCCTGTGGTGAACTGGGAGCAGAGAGAGGCTGTGAGGTCCAAGGGGGCTCACTGGGGAACCTGGTCACCCTTGCTCACTAGGTTGGGTCTAACTGTGGCTTCTGCTCCCCCTAAGTTGCAAGTGGGCTTGGCTTTGGGAAAGGTGTAAAAAGTCACCATCAAGTGCTTCTGCCAGCCATTCTCCCCTTCTCCTTTCAACAGACCTGATTCCTACCTGTGCACACTGTCTTACAGCAGCCTTTAACAAGACATGGCCACGTGACCACCTGACTGCTAAAAAAGAAGGTTCCTTAAAGGAGAGGAGAGGTTCCCACTGGCTAGAGCTCCAGCAGCCATCTTGGACCATGAGGAGCAACCAAGTCCTGAGGATGAAGGAACAGAAGGAAGAGGGTCTGTGTCCTGCTGTTGATGATCCTCAAAGACAGCCACAGTCAGGACCTTCCTCCCTGCCCCTGTGTGCTGATCGATCCATCAAGAGATGGAGATGAGGGATTGATGAGATGGTTCATTAGGGTCAAGGTTCTTGCTGCCAAACCTGACAACAAAGTTCAACCCCCAGGATCAACGTGGTTCAAGAAGAGAACTGATTCCATCAAGTTCTCCTCTGACTTCCACCTGTGTACTATACAGCACACCCCCACACAATAAATAAATGGAATTTAAGTTTGAAAAAGGCAACAGCGGGGAATGGAAATGATTTCCTCTCCCCATGAATCTAGGCAGGGCCCATGACCACCTGGACTAACAAAGAGCAGCAATGAAGGCCATTTCTGGGTCTTGGCAAACCTGGCAGTTCACTGCCTCTCTCAAAGCCAGCTGCCATGTCAAGGAAGCTCAAGCTAGCCAGGTGGGGAGAGCCAGAGCACCCTGGAGAGGCACCAAGGTTCTAGCCATGCTATCATTGGACCTTCCAGCCTAACTCAGGGTTTACCACCACCTGAGTGGGCCCTAACCAATGCCATCCAGATGAAAACTGCCCGGCTGGGCCATGTTCCAGGTCCTCACCCCCAAATCATGAACAAATCATCATTTAGGAAAGTGGCTTGGCCAGGATCCCACAGCTTTATTATCAGTGAGACCACAACTGAATTCCTCCACCCAGGTTTCTCTCAGCCACATTAGTTGTCCCCATGGACAAACTCTGAACCTGTGTCTGTGTGGTGTGAGATACCAGATCTGATGTGTTCAAAGGCCACCACATCAGACCCTGTAGAAGATGGTTCAACTGCTCTGCCAGGATTGTTTGTAAAGAAGGCTGAAGAGGCTAGAGAGATGGCTCAGTGGTTAAGAGCTCTGGCTGCTCTTGCAGAGAACCAGGGTTCAGTTCCCAGCAGCCACATGGCAGCTAACTGTCCATAACTTCAGTTCCAAAGGACCCGACACCGTCTTCTGGTCTGTGAGGCATTGTATTCACAGGTAGACTTACATTCAAGCTAAACATTCATGCACATAAAATAAAAATAAATAAGAAGAAGCCTGAGGGCTGGGAATGCAGCTCATCCACAGATCACTTGCTTGTCTAGCATGAGCAAAGCCCTGGGCACTATCTGTAGTACTATAAAGTAAAGAAAAAAAGGGGGGGGGTGTGGAAGATTAGAGGAGGGGAAGGAAAAGAAGGAAAAGGAGATGAAAGAAGTGAGGCTAGGCACTAGTCCTGAGTTCAGTGCAGTTACCTTGTGGCATTCATGAGGGATGAGTGCCAGAGTCCTCTTTAGATACTAAACTCTGCAGATGTTCAGGCCTCTGACAGAAAACACTGCAGTTTGCACCTATGCATGTCCTCCCATTTACTCTCAGTCACATACAGATGATCTAAACAGATGTCTATAATACCCAGCACCAACATAAATCCTCTGTGACAAGTTGTTAGACTATTTAGGGAATAAGGACAAGGGACAAGAAAAAGATCTGTACATGTTCAGTACGGACGCAATGTTCTTTTCAGATATTTTCAATCTGCAACGGGTTGAATTCGTAAATGTGGAGCTCATGGATATGCAAGGTTGACTACACTTCACTCAGCCTCATTCCAGAGCGCTTATTAAACACGTCTCCTCAGAGTTCACGTGGATTCCTCCACACAAGGGCTTGAGGACAGTTAACACAAGTTCACTCACACGTCTGCCTCTCATCCCTGTGCCCAAAGCATGGCCCAGGGCCAGAACACAGTCAGATGCTGGGCAGCTGGGGGCAGGTGGCAGGATGCAGGGAGACAGGACAGGGGTCTCCAGATTGCTTCCTCCTCTAGTTCATTCCACACTGGCTCAGAGCTTACTTTGTCTGAATTAACTTTGAAGTGTCTGCTCAGTACACTAACATGACATTTCCCCCAAAAGCTGCTATACTTTTGGGGGAGGAGACAAGTCAATCTGGCCAGCCCAGAATGTGACAGGTACCTATAGAGACATGTGCCCAGGATGCAGAACACCAAGGAAGAGGGTTATAGAGAACTGAACTCCACAGTCAAGCAGCGATGAAGGGGGAAGAAGAGAATGGCAAAGAATATTCTGAAAGGGTGCTGGGAAACAGGGATCTGTGTCTGGTTCGGTGTGAGGAGCCAGAGCTTGGAAAAGCAGCTAATGGAGTATGGAGAAGGGCAGTGTCCCTTTAAGGATCTTGGGGGTCCCTAATGGAGCTAGAATATATTCAGAGGGCAAGAAAGAGCCCCGGGAGGCAAAGGAGACCCACTAAGTGTCCTGAGCTTCTGAAGGCCAAGTCTACCCTAGAGACTGGGAAGAGCTAATGAATTAAGGACAGAGACAATAGGCAAAGGATGACAGCCCATAACTGGCTTCTCACTTCTCAGAAGGGAAGGGATACTTGTAGGATAAATCTGTCAACATGACATTTATCCCCAAAGGCTTACTTCATATGTGTGCTGCCTTAAACTGAATGTTATCATTATGTCCATTAGTAGGGGCTTGTTGAAAAATAATGGGGGTGGGGGTTCTGGAGAGATGGTTCAGAGGTTAAGAGTACTGACTGCTCTTGCAGAAGACCCAGGTTCAATTTCCACCACCCACATGGTGGCTAACAACTATCCATAACTCCAGTTCAGGGGAATTTGATGTCCTCTTCTGACTGCCGTAGACATTGTATGACATGGGTGAACTTACATACATGCAAGAAATACATTCATACACATAAAAATAAAAATAATAAAATACTAAAAAAAAATAACAGGGTACCATCAGTCCAGCAGCTGGCAGAGGAAAGAGATGGCGCAGGTCTGCATCAGCTGCTTACTCCTAGGACTAGAGTGGCACAAACCTGCTCTGCTCTTGGTCCCAAAAGACCCCTATCCCAGAATCCATGTGGCTACAACTTCCAGAAGAAAAACCCTAGCCAAAAGAGAGAGAGAGCCCAGTCATCCCAAGAAATAGAAGTTATGATATCCATTATTTCAGCCACTATATTTTGGGTCACTTGTGCAATAGGCAGTAGAAATGAATGAACTAAAACAGTAAACAAGAGCCAGGTGTGGTGGCACACACCTTTAATCCCAGCAGTCTGGAGGCAGAGGCAGGCAGATCTCTGTGAGTTCGAGGCCAGCTGGGGCTACTGGGAGATCCGGTCTCAAAAAAGACAAAAAAAAAAAACCCAATAAATACATTAAATTCTCTCCAGAATATCAACTTTGTCATATTGCTTGTGTTTTCATTTGATAATTCTGGTACTGGGGATGAAACCCAGGTCCTGCGCACATTAAATATACATTCTTACCATGGAGCTGCATGCTCAGCCCAGATCTACCACATTCCCAGACCTCCTCTCCCAGGGTGGCCTGTATGACACAGAAGACACAATTGATGCCTGGACCAGGTCTCCCTCCTGCAGATCATTTGTCTGCTGCCTGGGCCACTACAATATGTTTACACAGGTATGCACTTAACATTCTCTCTCCTTATTGTTCAAAACAAAATTACCCAATATGACTTGGTTATTTGGTTCTACAATACCAAAGGTATATCATAAACCAAAACTTAGACCAAAGTTACATCTTAATCATGTTAATTATAAAATGATTTTGGAGGTTTGGGAAGATAGTTCACTAAGTGTTCATCTCACAAGCCTGAGGATCCAACTTTGATCCCTAGAATGCCTGTAAAAATGCTGGGTGCAGTGGTGCATGCTTGTAATCCTAGAGCTGGGGAGACAGAGAAGGGGACCCCTGTTCAGTCAGTCTAGCCTCATCAGTGAGCCCCAGAGCAATGAAAGAGCCTGTATCAAGGAGGTGAGTGGTGCTCCTGAGGATGACACCTGGGACTGTCCTCTGAGTACCACATGTACCTGTATACATGTGCAAGAGCACCCACAGCCACACAGACACATGCACCCACACATACTGATGTGTGCATGCACAATCGGTCAAAAATCCCATGTTTCTCAATTTGCTTTTGAATTTTGCTCTCTCTGGTAGAAGAAAAAGAGAATTCACCATCAATGTGAGCCACAAGCCCCAGTCCTCCATCTGCAACTCCACAATCCCAGAAGCCATAGCCACCAACATCCTCTCTTATGTCTCCCCAGGGAGTAAAATCACCCAATCAATATGGAAACAAGTGCAGACTCTATTCCTCATAGGGTCAGTATTCATGTGTTTTGATACAGGGATCAATGCATTTAATCACCAGGTAAGGTGCTGTTCGGGATCTGCCTGGAGGGCGATTTGCACCATGTTACCTTCTGGAAATGTCTCGTAAGTCTCACCCTTAATTCAAAATTAACACTTTGCAAAAGCCTTATGAATGAAGCAGAGAAACTACTCCAGAGATTGGGAAATGACATCAGCCTAGAAATTAGCTCTCTGTCCTGTTCTCTGAAGGAGCCCCGCTTTCATTTTAAAAACCAAGCTGAATTCCCCTCAAGTTCTAAAAAGTAGGCCCCTGGGGCAAACAACACCAACAATAACAACAAAACTCTATCATTGTATCAGGGTTACTGTAAACATCAGCAACATCCAGAGAGGCAGGGGGCACTGAACTGGCTCTGAGAACAACTTCTAAGTTGCT